TAATGGATCGGGCCTCTTTCTCCGACATTAATTTGTGCTGTTTCAGGTAGAAGTCCAGATCATTTCCCTCACAGTACTCTAACACTGTACAAAACGAGTCAGTATCCAGTGAAAAGTAATCATACAGCTTAACTATTCTGGGATGATCCAGTTCTTTGTGAATCCGGTATTCCCTACATGCATGCTTGTGGTAATTCTCCTTTTTTTCATCTCTCCAGTTTTTATTTAACTGGTGAATTTTCACAGCTACGTATCTTTGCTCTGTTAGATCAAATGCCTTGTAAACTTCACTGAAACCTCCTCTACCCAAAAGATGTAACAACAAATATCTGTCATTTAGCGTTGGATGATCTTTAAATTGTGAATTATCTTCATTATGTATCCTTTTTAGTTCCCTGATATGTAGATTTCTAACCCTTTCTAGCCTTTCCAGCTCTGCCTGGATCTCTGCTTCCTCCTTTTTAAGATGGCCTAATCTGAGTTTAAAGATTTCTTCTTGTTCATGGTATTCTGCTAATGTTAACGTTTCATTTTCAGCTCCGTTGGTCTTGCTCTTCCGCTGTTTCTGCTCATTGGTTGCTGGAGGGGCTTGACCCATGGCAGGAGGTTTCCRCTTTGCTAACATTTTCCGTTGTCTTTCTATCTCTTCCCTCTGTGAATTTATCCTTTCCTGTTGCTTGATAAGGTTCTGGAAAGCATAACCATCTGTCCACTGTTCAGTAAAAGAGGCCCCATGCCGGACAGTAGTAAAGTGGCCCAATCTCAAGCGGTCCTGCATGCTCTTATCTCTACATGCCATCTTCTCTTGTTTTGACTTTTCTATAAGGAGTTTCTTGCTCATTGTGACACATCTATTTAATCGTTCCTTGTATTTTTCTAGCATCTTTTGCTGTTCATCAATCTGCCTTCTCAAATCACAGTTGGCTCTTAATAAATCATCTATTCTTCCTTCTTTCTTCTCTAAGTCAGAATTCTTACTATTTTCTAGTGCAGATATTTTTTCTATTGTGAGGTCAGACTGGGTTTGTCTGTGCTGGATGGAGATCTGTTTTTGGGAGCTGCAGGAATGCTCTGTGTTGCCAGATCCTATGGAAGAGGGACTGTTTTGCTGAGCTGAAACGAAAGTAAAGCAGAGGCCAGCACCCCTTTGTGCTAACTGTTCTGTGTCAAGCCGAGGTTTTGCTAGCATCACTGACATGAGGGTTGGCAGAGCAGATTGTTCCTCTGGTGCCTCCTTTGCAGCACYGCCATCTAAACCATAGAGGGGCTGCTCTACTCGCCGCTCAAAGTAATCACTAATTTTATGTCCCCTAGGAGTGCCTTTCCCTTGGCTAGTTTCATACGGTTCAGCTTTTCTTTTCCGATTTCGCTGGTCATTCTGCTTTTTTTCAGGAGTCTCTACTTCTTTATCACTCAAGGACCCCACGCTGCATAAGCTCTGGTTGGAAGACTCACTATTGAGTGGCCCCTTACTAACACCATCTCCAGTAAACCTGGCCTCTAATAATTCCTGCCGTCGTGGGTCCAGGCTATGCAATTCTTCCATCATTTCTACTGCCGCCGCCGCCGCTCCACGCTTCTCCCGGGAGGGGCCCCGACCCGACCCGGCTGCGGCCGCTCCGCTTTACCCCTGGGCAGGCCCGGGGCGGAGCCGGGGCCTCTCCTAAGCGCCGCAACCCCCCGCCCGGGCAGCCGCCGCCGGCGCCCTGCTCCACGAGAGGGCGGGCGGGGGAGGGGGTCGTGGAGGCCGCAGATCCCCGGGCTCGCGTACAGAGCTAGGCGCCTGACGCGGGCCCGGGCCCGGGCGGCCGCGGGGGGCCTCATTTTCAATTTCTACGGGACTCAGAATATGTATTTGTCCTCCCTTGAGTTTATGGAAGCACATCTTAGAGAATCTCACACGGGGCTCCACCACCGGAGTCCATGTGGATCTCAAAGTTCCTCTCTTTGCCTTAAGGTCAATGTTTTGGTCCTGGTGATTGTCCACAAACAACCCCAACATCACGTCTGACTGTCTTTGATTTACTTTCAGTTGTACCAGGGGAGAAAATGAAGTTCTCCCTGTCAAATAGGGAACGGCAGCTGCCTAGGGTGCTGGAATAGCAATCAAGGGACTGCCACAAAACAAGTAGGCCTAGGTGTCCTTATCTTCTTCTTTGTAAAAATGGCTCTTGGATCAGGATATTGGGAAGCCTCTAGGTCAGCCCTTCGTTCAGTTCTTTAGAAAGGACTACCTGGTTTCCCTCAAGGCCTTAGAACACTCTGTTCCCTTCCTCTGCTCCTAATGCTTCCAGTGAATCTTGACTCTTCTCTCACTGGTTTGCCTCGGGTTTCTTTGGAGTAACCTTCCCTGACCAACCAGTAGCCCACCCCACCCCCTGCAGTTTCTATTCCATTAGTCCATGTTTTCTTTTTTCCTGCCACAGCATCAATCATATCCATTCTCATTTATTTCATGTTTTTTTTCATTTATTCTTGTCCCACCCACACACTAGCAATAGAAGGACTGAAAGAGCAGCAGAAGTGTCTTGTGCCTGGAGCAATGCCTGCTGTTCTGTACTTGTTTGTTGAATAAATGGATGAATGGGTTTTCCCAGAGCAGCGGAGTAATCTGGATGGACATCTATTTTGACTTCTACATAAAGGGTGAGGTCTTCCTTGCAGTACCTGCACAGGCATTCTCTGAATTGCTGCTTTTATAACACAGGACTGGTCTCTATAAATGATTCATTCCCTTTTAGGTTGCTTCTCCTTATTAGTGCTAGGGTTTCGAGGGATGACATCATTTTGTTTTGTAGGGGACTTTCCTGATTTCAATCCTAAAGTGTCAAGATCCAGAAATTCCTCAGTTTCAGACACCCAACTAAGGTTGGTCACCCTATCAAGGATTCAGAATTAGAAATTCCTGAAGTTGATGTCATTGTACTTGTACTTCTCTTGGAGATTTCAGCCCCTTCTCCTTGATTCTGTAGACCACAGTCCCTCCTTGCAGTCCCAATAGCCATCACACTGCAACATTCCCTTGACCTCAGCTTGTCTACACATCAACCTCAAAAAGAAGCAAGAAGTGTCTGCCTTTGGCTGTAAAGAAGGTTTAATTAAATGTTTCCAACATATGTATTCGTTTCCTAAAATAGACACAACTAATAATTTTTTAATGAAAGCAGCCCAAATGAGGCTAGTTTTGTGAATTAGAATATTTTTAATTAGGGCATTATAGTTATACATAGTAGTTGAGTTCATACCAACAAAATCATACAGGCAAGGAATCCAATTTCAGTTCACATTTTACCACTTTTTTCTTCCCCTCTCCCCCCACCCATTCTCTTTCCTCTACTCTGTTGATCTCTCTTTAACCCATATATTTATTTATTTTTTATTTATTTATTTTTTACCTCTATTTATACATAGAGGTAAAACATTCACTGTGATATATTTATATATGCACATAGCATAACTTTTCAAAATTCAATCCATATTTTCTCCCCTTTCCTATTCTTTCTCCCTCTCAATCTCCTTCTTCTACTCTACTGATCTTCCCTGTCTTTATGATATCCAATCTTCCTCTCTTTTTTTCCTTTTACTTTAGTTTCCACATATGAAAGAAAACATTTCATCCTTGATTTTTCTGAGACTGGCTTATTTCATTTAGCACAAACTTCTCCATTTTCAACCATTTATCAGAAAGTGTCATAATTTCATTCTTCTTTATGGCTGAGTACAACCCCATTGTGTATATATACCACAAGTTCTTAATCCATTCATCTGTTGATGGGCATCTGGGTCGATTCTATGATTTGGCTATTATGAATTGTGCTGCTAATAAACATTGAGGTGGTTATATCACTATAGTATGCTGATTTTTGTGATTTTGTATAAATAGCAGAAAGTGAGATAGCTGAGTTATATGGTGATTCCATTCCTAGTTTGTTGAGGAAGCCCCATACTACTTTTCCAAAATGGTTGTACTTGTTTATCGGCAGTCTCACCAACAATGCACTAATGAAGATACAGTATACATTGTGACCAGGCACAGTGATGCATGCCTACAGTCTCAGCTTCTTGGGATGCTACCACAGGAGATTACATTGAGCTCAAGAGTTCAAGGTTCAAGTCTGGCTGAAGGAATTCAAGATGGGCAAGACACCATCTCAAAAACAGAAGAAAAGAAAGGAAAGGAAAAAAAGAAAGAAAACCACACAGTATATTATACAGTTATTAAAAACAATAAGGTAAACATGTAGCCACGTGGGAAATATATGTACTATAATGTTAAGCTTTTAAAATGGTATTTGTGTGGGGCTAGGGATGTGGCTCAAGCGGTAGCGCGCTCACCTGGCATGCGCGGGGTGCTGGGTTCGATCCTCAGCACCACATAAAAATAAAATAAAGATGTTGTATCCACCAAAAACTAAAAAATAAATATTAAAAAATTCTCTCTCTCTTAAAAAAATTTATAAAATGGTATTTGTGCTATAATTAAAATCATGAAAAGCCATAAGCATATTAAATGGATAACGTCCATCAACAATGGAAACCATTTGATTGAGGTAAGGGAATTGCTGGTGAATTTTGTGTTGATGTCCACTAATGCTCTTATAAAGTGGCTTATGGAATGAATAATCATTATGCAAATTTAAGTGAAGTTAATCTTCTTAAACAGAAAGAGTGACCATGGGCCTCCATGTGACATGGCAGTAACATTCCTAGGAAAAAGAGTTAAGCATTAGCTCTTTTGAGAAATACAGAGTTCCACTTTCATTACTAATCAAGTTGTAGGTTCCTGGGCTCAGGATCTAGAAACACAGGCACCGTGCTGCCCATTAGCCCTACTCAGTCACAGGTCAGAAGACTGGATTTCCCCACACTACTGTCACTGGTTCTCTACCCTCAGACTTAGTGACTCTTAAATTACTGATCCTCCTGCAATGTGACTCCATCCTGATATCCCCAGGGAAAGGTTCTCTGGGCTCCTGAGGTTTGGAGAAAGAAAGGAGCACAAAGCTTTCACATTCATTTTCAAAACACAGCCCAAAGCTGGGCAAGGTGGCACACACCTAAAATCCCAGTGACGTGATTCCTCTGAAGGCTGAGGCAGGAAAATCCTAAACTCAAGGCCAGACTGGGGGCCTTAGCAATACCTGCAGCAATTTATAGAGACTCTGTCTCAAGATACAAAATGTAAAGGGCTGGGGATATAGATCAATGGTAAAGCACTCCTGGATTCAATCCCCAGTACCAAAAAACAAAACAAAACAAACAAACAAACAAAAATAAGTCCTTCGAAGGGGAYATTCCTAAGGTAGCATCCTGAGCGTCCACAGACCCAGCTCCCCTGCTCTCCCAGTGACATGGATCTGCTTTGCTCATGCCCTTCCCTCTTCCCTTGACCACCCAAGCCTGCCTCTTTTTCCCATACACCCCCCCACTCCTAAATGCCTCAGGTATTGCCTACCTGCTCCACCCTCATCCAGGAAACCTTGACACCTCTGCTTCACCCCAGATGTTGTCTTCCTCCTTTGAGGTCCTGCAGAGTGTTGTAATTGCTCCTTTACTCTCCCCCAGAAGATTGTATAAGGGTTCTGGTCTATAGGAGGCACTAAATAGACTTTGAATGCTAAATTTCAAAAGATGGCTTTCTTGCCTATTTATTTAAGTGATAAAAACTCAGACTACATGGTGGGTACACGCTAATGGTGAGCAACTCTTTGGTGTGAACTCAAGAAAGAGTTCTATTTCATTTATGTGTTCTTCCAACATTTTATAATGAGAATTTTCAAACAAAGGAAAGTAGAAATGCTTCCTTTCTCAAGATCACAACTCTCCCTACTCCAGGTGGAACCAAGTGGCCCTCAAACTCCCTAACAACTGGGTAGGACCAGTGTGTGCTAAACCTCTAAATGCCCGAGGCAGAGGACTATACCACATTAAGATCGGCTTTGATCTTCGGGTCATCTTGTCAATGTAATTATTATCCCTGCAGCTAGTCAATCTCTCCTGCTGGGTAGAACTTGACTATTTAAAAGGATCTGTCTTCTACTGTCCTAATGTGAGTCTCAGAACAACACTATGAAGTAGGAAAAGGATATATTATAGCCATTTCATAGATGAGGAAACCGAGGTTCAGGGAGGTTAACTTGCTTATCCATTTAAGATAGGATGGATCTGGGTCTTGACTCATTGTCCTCACACACTGTCTCATTGGGATAGACTGTGAAGACTTGTATATTCCCTTCTGCCAGGAACCACTTGGCCACTGTGGTATGGATTGTAGTCATCTACAACTTCCACAATGTATATGGTTTCCCAACAGTTGCTGGTGATGCACAGATCTAGTCCGAAGTAACACCGAAGTGGTAATAATAGACCTTGAGGAGAACAGGAATCCAATCAGTATAGGTCAGTAGAGTGAGCCAGTGAGAATAATTCATGTTTTCATGAGGCACAGAGAGTGAAGGGCAAGCAGGTTAAATGAGAAACCACTTTTCCTCCCCTGTCTAGGAGAGAAGTTGTCATTGCACAGTGAAATAAATGCCTGCCTATTTTATTTATTCTTTTAGT